ATGTCCTCGTTCTCTGAATGAGACAGAAATGTGGCTTTGATGTTTAGGCTTTGGAAACTTGAGCTTTGGATAAAACACGGTAGAAGAAAAGTACAGTATAGTGTAGCATGTGTAAATTACTGAAAACATTGCTGGAATTATTTCAGTCTAGAGATAGGATTAGATGTGGCAGGATTAGAAAGGTCTAGTAGAGTGGGAGATAGCCCACAAACCACATACTGTATGGCAGGAAAGGGTTTAGTTATTTAGAACATATCACTCTTTCTTCAGAATATAAAAACAATGCTAGTATAAATGCCAGATTGTGAAAGAATTGCAAAGTAGAATCCTGTCTTGTCTTGAAGAACTTAGAGCCTTGAGTAGGTGGGTTTAACAAACATTTTCTATCAAAATCCTGAATTAGATGGAAGTGTTTTGCATATTATAAAATCACCTATTAATGTCAGTGGGATGAAGCATTAATTTGTTAAGCTGTTGTTTGCAGTGTGGTTGCGTGCTGTTGAACTGAGCACTGTTGAGTGGTGGGTAAAACACTCCCACTATATATTGCCATTGAATTTAGCATGGCTGAGTGAAAGGTAGAAAAAATCCTTCAAAATCCTATCGCTTCACTGTCAGATGGCTGAAAGAGAGTTGTAGTTTTTAGTTGAGAAGTACTTAATGGATAAAAATATTATTGAGCAAAGCCTGCAGAAGTACTTAGCGCCTACCAATCTTTCCAGCGATCTCAGATGATCATCCTGTTGTTGGGCTTGGTATATCTAGAGATATTCCCTCCATATAACCATCTTAGGTGCCAGACTAAGTCATCTCATCTGCTTTAGCACAGAGAAAAAGAGAAGGCCTTTTGAGAACTATTTCAGAGCAGCAGCAAATCCTGGTCTATATCTACTCCTCCCATGACTGTTAATTAGGATTAGAGTTTTCAATCATTTGTCTCATCTGTAGGCTATGTTACTTGATTCATTTTTCTTGCCCCACAGGCCTTAGTGGTTTTTCCCCCCCTTGTCACTTGCCAGAAATATTAATTCTCCAAAGTTTTCTATGCTTGACTCATTCTCAGCTTTCACTTTCTCATGCTGGTGAGTAGTTCTTGGAGAAACCTAATACCATAGAACAAGAATGAATGTGGTTTATGAAAGGAGGTGGTTTTTGTCTCATGGGAGAAGGTGTTGGTGTTTTTCATTTGAAACGGAAGTATCCCAAGGGAAGAACCCAAAGGGAAGTCAAAGCTACTAGCAGCCTTAGCCAGGGCTGAGGTACTGCTGTTTTGTAAAACTGTTTTTGTTACTAAAAAGGTCCCCTGTGAGAGATTAATTTTATACATAACAAAAATTTGCTGAGTACTGCATACAAACTGTTTTGCATATCTGTATTAAACAAGTATTTGTTTCATATTTTGCTTTTATAAGAAGGTTTCAGAAGTATGACTTAAGCAGAAACGTAAAATTAAAAATTAGTACACAGTGACTAAAAAAAAACTTACAAAAATATATAAAAACATCAAGTTTCAAATTACGTGTCTCAGAGAATGTTTCATAGTTCAAGTAAGGGACATGTTTTTCCACCATCTGAAATAAACTCATCAGTAGATTGTGAATTAACATTTCCTCACAGCAACATTTACTTACGGGAGGGTGCTGCATTAGAAGACTTGCCAAGCAGAACAACTACACTGACTTCAGAGAATAAAACTTACCTTTTTATTAAAGGATTTTGAAATTTAGCATAAATAAGAAAAAAAAACAGCATTGCTTAGATTAAAGAAAGGTTAGGATTTACTGAACCTACAGATAATTAGTGCTCTAAAAATCTGAAGGATAATTCTCGTCGTAACATTCAACAGACAACTTTTTAAGGAGTATCAAGTAACAAAGTTGATAGGGTCTTTGAAAGTTGTAATAAAGGAAGACAGAAAAAAATATAGCATGTATTTAGGAATGAGTCAGCTATCATTCTGTGAGCTTTCTCTTGACTAAACTTGCTCTGACAAATACTGCAAATTTAGGCGGCAATTCATGCTTTAAAGCCATCTGTAAAATATGAGAGAGAGAAAAGCATTCCATAAATTTGTCTGTGAAGACCAGAGTAGAGGTAGGAAGCCTACAGGGGGAAGAAAAAAAAAAAAAAAAAAAAAAAAAAAAAAAAAAGTATTTTAGGTACACCGTTAAGAAAAATGAACATAAGCAGTATTTTCTGTTTGTGTTTTCTTCAATATCTAAAATTCTGCTTCTTCTGAACATGCAGTTTTACAAAAGAAGTTTTTCTTTAAAGTCCAAAATTTTATAGGGGAACAGATTACAAGATTAAAAATCACAGCTTAATTTATTTATCATCTAGTTAATATTTTTTTTTCCCTATCACTTTGAACAAAATTTTGCAGCACTTTGCAGATTTAATAACTGCCCTTTCCATTTCTCCTCTCTTCCTCAAGCAATAGAACTTTCCACAAAGAAACAGCAACCAGTGTAAGCTCAGAAAAGCAGCAAAGGTCAAGAATTTTGATTCTCTTTACGTGATCTCATGAATAAACTTGAATGCTTCATCCGCCAACGTGTACTCTGTGACTACTCTTAACTTCCCCTGTATTCACTGATAAGTAGCATTTCTTAGGGCCTAATGAAAGAATCATCATACGTTTCTGTGATACTGTGTTTGGATTTAAGTTTTCTGTGAAGGAGGAAAACAATCATATATGATGGAAACTTGATGTCCTTACTCAGGCAAAACCCTTGAAAACAGTGGAAAGCACTGTAGGCTTGACTTGTGTCAGTTCTGTTATTTACATATTACTGTTTATTTATAAACCTGTAAGTAAAAAAAATATAAACACAAAAATTATTTCAGTAACAAGGCTGTGGGAGTGTGTGGTGTCACCTGAAACATCGTTCAGCCTCTGGAAACTACTCTGTTATACAGTTCCTTGTTCTGTCTTGGACTTTTTGCTGACTGAAGGACTCTGTGAAACAGGCTTCCTGGTACGCTGCCATCACAGGGTGAGGTTGCAGCAATAGTTAAGTGAATGCTGTGCAGTTCACATCTATTATTTTCCTAACTTAAATGCCAGAGAGCTTCAAAATCATGTCATTTCAGAAGGTTATCAGAAATTCTTTTAGAAGCACTGAAATAATTAAGTCATTCAAAAAGAGTCTGTGTGAAGCTGGTGTCAAACACTGAGTTCTGCTGTCACTTTAATGATTAGAATTTAAAAAAAAAAGAAATGGAGATGAAAAACAACCTCTATGTTATTGTGGTATGCTTATTTAGTGTGGTAAAATACAAATCACTTGGTCCTTGTACAGGGAAGAACTCAGTCTGATCTTGATGTGCATTTCTGATCTCATTTCTGCTTCTTGGACTTGTATTCTGTGATTTTTTTGAAGACTGGCTGACTATATAATTTGTAATCAAACTCTAAAGTGAAATGCAGCTCTTGAGCAGAAAACAGAAAAAAAATGTGGCAAAATAAGGAGGAAATAATTTTTAGGAGTGTATGGAGGGCTATCATCCAGGAAGAGCTGTAATGTCATGGGAAAATAACTTCAGAAGTTCTCTGTGTTGACTTAACTCTGTTCCCACAGAAGTGAGTGTGTAATGCTTCTGACGATTACTCTGACAAAATAAAAATACTGCAACCAATGAAGATGCTGTTTATTATATGGCTGCTTAGAGTGGTAAACTATGAATGGAGAAAAATGCAAGGTAGAAAGCTAAGTAAGAAGAAAGATGGGTCTCATGGCCTTCTGGCTATCCAAAACCATTACCTGCTGGGGATTCTTACTTAATTTTTGTGATCTTAATGTTTGCAGTATAATAAGTCTTGAGAGAAGACATTCAAACTGGTCAGAACCTGCAAGTTTTATTTTCTTTACCTGGCACGTGAATCATCCATCATCTTATTCTGACTCTAAGTGTTGTGTTTCAGTATTGGCAGAAGGTATAGCACAGGTCCTCTGAAGTGATAACTGTGTCTCTGTTAGAGATTGTCTGCCCCTCCAGAGACAGAAGAGTTATGGCCAGGCCTCCTTCCTGGTCAGGCTGAGTTATAAAGAACTCAGGTGTTCCTTGTGGAGGTGCAAAGTCCCATCTGAGAAACGCATAAAGGAGGCAGGCTTGTGTAGTAAACCTTAAGAAGAAGTACTGACCTTCCCTTCAGAGGAGAACAGGAAGGAGGCCTCTGGGGCTGGGCTGGGAGAAGTTATTTTGATTTGGTAGCATGACCTAAGTTTCTCTGTTTGAAAAATAAAGCTGAACCAAGAGAGAAATTTGAGCTTAATGATAAATCCCTGAGAAGCACGAGGCATCCAGCATAAATAGAAGGAAACTGAGGCAACATTTTTTTAAGCCAAACCAGGCATGTTGTACTGTGTTAAGCCCTTTTGTCAGGCTCCATGACTTGCAATAAAAGGCAGGGAAGCTAGTAAGAAACAAAAGTAACAATTATAAAAATACATTCATGCATTTATTGCGCAGTAATTTTATGCAAATCTTCCCTATATAGTCACTAACTAATTATATGAGGGTTTTATAGTAGTAGCAATTGAGAACTTGGACAAAGAGATGGCGATATTTAGGTCAAGAGGTAATTTAGCTAATATGAATTCAAAATAAAATTATTTGGATCTGGAACCTTATAGATATGGACATGCAAATGTTTTAGCAATGCCATTAAAGTTAGTAGATCTGAGACTTGTCCAGAGTTTTCTCTCCCCTACATAGGTTTTAGCATTTTTGGCTAAATCTCTTCTACCGAAGAAACCTGAAACAAAGCAGGCAAGCATATTTAGGCCTAAATATGAATCTCAATTAAAAAATATCAATGGGATGTCCCAAAGGAGGAAGACTTCTATTGCTTTACACTTCTCCTCTGTATCAGCTGCTATTAGTTCTTATTAAACATTTATCTGCATTGTCACCAGGCCTCTGGGCTCATTGTTAACTTGCTTTGTAAGCATCCAAGAGAAATAAGGCTTGGAATAGAAAGAGGGCAGTGAACTAACATGACAGATATTTATGGAGAACCACTCCCAAACATGAGAGTCAGCATGAGAGAAAGCCCAAATGTTTCACCTCGGAAAATGCAGTGGGTAAGTGATGGTTCAGCTGTTGTTTAGGGTTGAGGAAAGGAAGGCATTTTCAGTGGTTAACATTAAATAACACAGAGACAGAGATATGCCAAGAAAGGCTGTGAAGATAATGAATGCACTCTTTTTTTCTGGGATGGGGACAAAGGAGGTACAAAAAGTAAAGGCTGGGGAGCTAACCCTTGCAGAAAGGTTCAGGAAGTGCTGTGCTAGTAGACAGTACTTAATTGGAACTTGGAGTTACAGCTTGCCAACTACAGAGTTTTTAATGTAACAACCATATATTGATGAACCTGTGCTCTAGTAAGACAAAGCATAAGGGGAGAGATCTGCACATCAGTATTGCTGCTCAGAACTGAAATACAATAGCTTTTAACCAGAATGTTCTTATTGCACTATTTTTCAATCCAAGGCTCTTGAAAGAGAGAGTTTATAAATATCTAAAGGGTGGGTGTCAAGGGAATGGGGCCAGAATCTTTTCAGTGGTGGCCAGCAACAGGACAAGGGGCAACAGGCACAAACAAGCTGGAACATAGGAGGTTCCACTTAAACATGAGGAAAAACTTCTTCAGTGTGAGGGTTCCAGAGCACTGGGACAGGCTGCCCAGAGGTTGTGGATTCTCCTTCTCTGGAGATATTCAAAACCCACCCGGATGCGGTCCTGTGCAACTTGCTGTAGGTGAACCTGCTATGGCAGGGAACTTTGACTAGATCATAGAATCGTAGAATTGCCAGGTTGGAAAAGGCCTCTGAGATCATCAAGTTCAACCATACCTGTCCATTACTAAACCATATCTTTGAGCACCCCATCTACCCCTCTTTTAAACACCTCCAGGGATGGTGACTCAACCACCTCCCTGGGCAGACCATTCCAGTGCCTGAGAACCCTTTCAGTGAAGTATTTCCTGACATCCAATCTGTAACTCCCCGGGCGTAACTTAAGGCCATTGCCTCTTGTTCTATCACTAGTTAACTGGGAGAAAAGACCTGTACCCACCTCGGTACAACCTCCTTTCAGGTAGTTGTAGACAGCAATTAGGTCACCTCTCAGCCTCCTCTTCTCCAGGCTAAACAACCCCAGTCCCCTCAGCTGTTCATCGTAAGGCTTGTTCTCCAAGAGGTCCCTTCCAACCCCTACCATTCTGTGATTCTGTGAAAGGACAGTTACCCATGAGTGATGGATTTTTTTTTTGACCATGAGCTGAAGTACAAAGACAGAAATTTTTTTCATGTAGCTAATGCAGAGCCTTTAAGAACCACAGTGAAAAAAATTGTGTAATTGCACTTAGCTTTTGCAGCGCAGTTTCTGGTGCAGGAAAGGCTTGCAGGGATGTGCCTAGCTGCAGAGGCAGCTAGTGTCTGACAGCTTGTAGATCCTGTTGATCAAGTCAAGGACTGCAGCCAGAATAATTGCTTGAAATATTCTGGGTACAAAAGTGCCAGTGAGGAGTGTTGCCCTGTTCTTTTAAAAGGTTATTCCTAAGGGGCAGAATCAGAATAGTCTTGCAGTATAACAGATGCACATTTATGGATAAATGTCAAGGGCTATCACTGATTCTCCTGAGAAGTCTGTAGCAGTTTTACCACTTCACTGCTTAGCATCAGCATTACTATATTTTTTAGCTCTAAAAAGTTAATGGAAAAAAGTATGGTAGGAGGAAAAGAGTGCAGGGGAAGTGTGAAACCTTTTCAGAAATTATTTCCTGGTATAAAATCTAATGTACTTTATGTGGAGAACTGTAACAGCTAAGCATACCCCACATAACAGGCAAGTTTTGATAGTTTTTAAAGCTCTTCAGGCACACTTTTTTATTATGATATATCCGTTTGTGTTCCCTAACCAACTAATAATTATGTCCA